GTAAATAGCTTATCTTATAAACACAATATTAATAAATCTAATTTAATACATATTATTGAARAGATTTCTACAACCATCATCGTCATAAACTTGTATACATATTTACATGTACACACTGGAATACTTACACTTATGTACGTCAAAGGGATGGGTCCAGTTGTTTCTATACAGAATATCAAATATAGATCTGATTATGTGGTTAATATCCCTCCTGACACAATTTTGAAATCAAATACTCAATTGTAAAATCTTTTTACATTAAGAATATGCGATTTTAAAGAAGTAATAATAAAAAAGTTTATAAAATATAAATAAGAATAAAGCAAAGTTAGAACACACTGTACATATTTTTAGATGATAAAATAGTCACATTAAGCAATGCACGTTACTATAAATCAATGAATGTATATTAACATACTGCATACATAACGATTACGTATAAAACGAATATATCAATCATAAAAAAATATTCGTATGTGTAGGTTAATTGAATGGCCTGCCACAATTGAAATTAGAAGGGAGGGGGTATAAATAAAAACTTTCCTCGTTGATTTGATAAATTAAATATTCAAATTATGAATGTAATGACATTTTAAAAACATCATGTTCATATATTTTCATAACTATGGATTGGAATCGAAGTATTTAAAAAACACTTTGATTGAAATTTATAAGATAATTAATCATATATAATGGTTGAAATACCAGAACTTTTACAAGAGCCTGTCCACGACTTGCATATATGGTATGCACATATGTATGTATATAATACATTCAGGCATATATTTGAAATTTGCATATATATGGAAGGATTTTGGTGTCAATCTGTGGGCACTGGAGCAATTTTATTTCTTAACAGGATATTTTTTGTGAACATTATTTAAAAATTGTGAACTCTAGGATAAGGACAACATTTTTGTTGTATAAATATAATAAAATATAAACTTGAGTAAAAATTTCAACAAGTTATTATTAAAAACAGTATAATGAAGATAAGTGGAGAGAATGAAAATGTATCCCTTATGGTTTCTATAGCGTGGTAAGTCTTAGGAAAAGTCTACAATATTGCAAAATCTTAACAAAGAAATTTTATATATTTACACATATACATACATATACTATGTAACTAACTGCAATGTTTTGTCTTGTCAAAATCTACAAATAGCGAAGACGTTTATGTTATGAAGAAATTTATATTCGCAAGCTTGAAGCAATTCTAAATAAGTCGCCCAAAACCATCAATATCATATCAATGGATGTAGAGGTACGATGGCCATTAGAAAACATGTTTCCCCTTTTATTTTGTTGTCATCATAGTTATGTGTCGACAGTTATTTTTGCAACATTATGACCAAATGAACAAAAATTGAAAAGAGTTTTTAAGCAATATCTCCTCTAAAACAACCCTTTATAACTATGTTTCGAAAATCAGCATCACGCTTAACTAAAATACTTTTAGCATTTTCATATTTCTTCTCACCGCATTTGTATAATTTTTTGTGAAATATACATGTGTTTTGTTTTAAAAACGTTTATTAAAGTGCATGAAAATGATTTAGTCCGTATATGATTCCAGTCAACTAGTTGATCACGGTACAGTAATTTAATTTAAAAAACTTATATATGTACAACTGTCTAAGTTATAACTTTGTTTGCATGAAAATGTACACACACAGGTACATGAATAAAAGAAAAACAACTTAACTTACTTTCACTGGACGAGCTACGGATGAGTTCAATGGCAGCTTACAATATGATTTTTACCTTATTGCAACGTGTTGGTGCCAAATACGGCTCTTCACTTTCGTTTCGACCGAAGAAAATGAAAATGCAAGAGAAATGCCATTAAAAACTCGAAAGCAGGGTATTGTGCCACATATCCCAAAGTGCGTGACTTTTTAATACATATGTTTATACACATATAGTACATATAAGAAAATACACTTGTACATATTTGTGGTACATCAACAAAAATCGTCACGTCACAATTCAACACAGTGAAATAACAACAAAAAATTTACATAAGTAAGTATATACTTTTTAAGCAATATCTGTCATTATCATATTCATTATTTGAAGATCCAAACATAAGTAATTTTTTTTTTATATCCGGATTTTGTGTCCTTTACATAACATRTAATTGAAGGACACTTCTACTTATAGTATTGTAAAGTAAATATATCTATAAGTAAATTCAGGTTTATACATACACATATACAATACAATGCGCTGCATGTAATATTTTAATTAAAATGAAATTCGAAAACGAAAGCTGCGCATAGTTCCATTAGCAGCATATATGTATATATATGTATTTATAGAGGTAAATTCGTACACTGACCTGGTTTTCACTTTTAAATAGTCGCTAGTAATAAGTTCGGTTTATTGGGCACTCAATTGTTTTGTATTTTCATGCTTTCTCATATACATATGTGCATWTATTGTGATTTTGTTTTAGTTTGGATGATTACTCTCCGAATATCAACGGAATAACCGGCAATTGTCATTCACTGTATTTTTAATTAGCATATATATATGTATGCATTCGTGCATATAAATACGGGCATAGGGCAAATGCAGTACTAAGCTGAACTTTATGCAAGAATATTTATATTGCTCATATACATACACATGTATTTGTATAAGCACATAAGTGAATATAAGTTCATTCAAAATATTCAGGCAAAATATGTGAACGTAAATATGTATGCCCATACCTACATAGTATATGCTTTTATGAAAATAGAAAGTAAATCGTATTCACTAGCAATATATGTATAAAAAATCGAAGAAAGTGACGTTAAACGTTGTAAGCGCCAGCCTGAATAATAAAGCAAATGAAATAGCTTGACAAGAAAGTTATAAAGGCAAGTATTATATGATATATAATCTACACACTTACATATACGTATATACATATATATATAACGGTGATATAAAAACCTGCAACCAACTGGCCACACGTAGTTAATGAGTGAATAAATGAAGGTGGATAACGAAGTATGTATCGACCAAAAGCGAAACGAAAATGAAAATGCAGCTACCACTTACTATATATTCGTTTTTGAATCAACATAATGTGATTGCCCGAAATTTAGAGCACGCAAAGTTTATTGAACTTATAAGAAGAGAAAAGGGAAATGGTAGAAAAGGCAAGCGACTTATAGCTAACCAACTTATTTTTCTCCGAAACAAATATGCAATAATAGAAAATATATTGTATATAGTATATTAACAAAATATACAATAAATATTTTGGCTAAAGATTTGAGCATAAAATGAATAGGAACATGTGGTGTCACTAATAATTATTTACTTTACATATAATTGAAAAAAAAAAATTAATTTCAGAATCACTACCTTCTGCTGCTCTAAATGGTATGCGAATTCAAAGCATAATTTCATATTATTGCTTCTTATGCAAAAACCCAAAAGCTTTTTATCAAAATAGCGACTGTCGCCCAGAAGGCAATTTCAAGCTCCTGAAGGCAATCTCTTTACCTTCGTTCAGTTTCAGTGATATCAATASCAGCATTGATTATCCAAATTAAAAGTAGAGGATAAGCTTGCATGGACTTTCGATACAATCTATTTTATAT